AAGAACATAGGGAAGATTCCATAAATAAAAAATTTAATTACAAATTCTGCCAATAGGAACACCCTTAATGTGCTATAATACATTTTAAACAACAGACTTGTTAGATCACTACTTCCAATAGAATAATAGCATGTCATATGGTCACTACAAGAAGTTTTTTCTTTTTAAATTGTTATAGAAGCAACATGATGCAGATATCTTTTGTAAAATTTAACAAGCATTTATTTAATGTGACATCATCACAATGCCAGGTTGCAATTTTTAATCATACTTTTAATTTATTTAACAATAGAGCCTTTCAGTCTATCTAATCTAACACCTACTGAGAAAATTTTTGAATCGAAATAACACGACTTCCATTTTGCATCAGAAGTCCATACACACTTAATACTTCTTACCCCCAAAGTTTCCATATATGGTCTCATCTTTCACCTATCTAACTCCATTCTCGAGATTAAGGAAAAACAGGCAAACTGGTAGATAAACAGATGGATGACAGTGGGAATTTATAGTCTACAATTTTTTCAAATTGCAGCCCAATGAAGTAAGTTTAAGATATGCCATTTGCCTAAATATTTAAAGACATAACTTACTGTATGGCTAATATTTCTGCAAAAGAAATAACTTATATTTTCAGTCAGAATATAAAATGAATATAGCCAAAATTTCATCTGGATTGGACAAAAATTGCAGGAGTTATAAGGAATTCACACAGAGACAATGGCTTTAATATTATTAATTTTACCAGAAGAGATTAATGGAGAAGCAGTTCTTTGTGAATTTAATGCCATAAGAGCTTGAGGACAGGCCTCATTCAGCTCCTGCAGTTTAGAGTGATGATATCATAATTTCAGAACATAAAATTTTTGGCAATTAGATTGGAGGAAAACAGAAACCTGTTTCACCTGAGGTAACAGAAAAAGTCATGATAGCAACTGTCAACAGATTTCTGGATAATGTTGCTGATTCAATTATTGCATATATTAGGACAAGACAGCTGGATACATCATATTACAAAAGTCCTCTACCAAGTTATTCAATTCTATTTGTTCAAGACCAGCCATCAACTACAGCTGCAGTAAGAAAATCCAGAAGAGACCGTCATTTAATTTGACTTTTCTGGCATGAATGGACATTGACAATGTCTGGCCTTGAAACATTGAGAGAAGATAAAACCCATTTTTATCTAAACTGCAAAAGCATACAACTGTCAAATTTGGGTATTAAATGTACCAAACTTTGCAGCATGCTCAATTATACTTACTTAATTACAATTTGATATGGTTTTACTGCAAATTTTACAACAGAATCATTCCTGTTTGAAAAAATACACCCAAAGGGAGAAGTGATATGTTACATTATTGCAGAAAAGTATCATGATATGATTTGAGATTTTAAATAATAAAAATAAGAAAACTTCTTATTTGGTAACTGCAGCAACAACAAAAAGACAATTTTTATGCAAGATAAGGTACCACCTAGGCTGCAGCTTTTGCAACACCACTTTGCTGGAGGAGGAGGTAAGTGATTCATTTCCATTTGAATAACCACCTTATTCAATTGACATCACTCCATGTGATTTTTGTTTGTGGGACTATCTCAAGACCATCATCATTTACAGAAATGTTCCTAAGTCTTAAAGAACATGGCACAGTATATTCAGAACATTTCTTCTGAAATGTTACATTCTGCTGTTGAGCACTGAGACAAATGCAGTTTCTGAAGTTCTTGTTTTTATACAAATACTCTTACAGTCCTTGTATTTACTTAACATAATACAACCTGAACCTCATGCCAAATATCACAAAAAGAAAATAAAAATATACACTAAGTGAGGCATTAACAGTTTTTTTTTTTTTTTTTTGCTAATGCTTTCAACAAACTTGTTTTCATCATCTTCAGGCAAACAAAATTTAAAAATAGAACATAATATTCTAATATAAATGAAACAAATATCATTTAAATTGAAATTAAAAGCCATTATGAACATGATCAAAATGTGATTACACAAGATATTGAAACATCATGCAGTGATGTTTGGATATACATCCACATCAAAAGTGTGATGGCAGAAGCATATCACAATTTAGCCATTTATACAGGGGTCACCAAACTATGTCCCATGGACCGATCTGGCCCCCCCAAGGTCAGTTCATCCAGCTTGCTGCCTTACTGTGCCACAAATGAGCTAAAATATAATTATTTATATAAAAATATCATAGATTGTAGATGAGCTTACTATGTAAAGAAAATTAAAACAAGTGTAAGTAAAAATGCCAAATTTGGTCCAATCTGATTTTTGCATCTGGCAGTTATATAGTATTTAGAAAAATCTATTAAATAAAAAATCTGGAGACTTTTTGGACTTTGAATATCAGAGCACTTTTTGTGTAAGTACCTGCAATGAAGTTTCTAAGCAAAGCGATTACAAGCTTGCTACAGAAATCGTGTTTGTGTATTGGTAAATAAATATATTGGTTTTCTTTATTTTTTGAGTATTCAGTATACTGTATTGAACAAAATGGTTATGTGGCTCGCACTCGTCATTCTCTTAGTTATATGGCCCACTGTGAAAAAAGTGTGGTGACCCCTGATATAGGGAACCCATGCTGGGCAGATCAAACATGATAATGTTGATTGGTTCCAAGGTTGTTATAAGGAGAGATTCAGTATCTTGCATAATTGAATTTTGATCACCCTGATAACTTTTAATTTCAATTTATATGATATTTGTTCCATTTACATTAAAATATTGTTTTCCGTTCCATCTTTATATTTCGTTCACATGATGATGATGAACATCACTAGAGAAAATAAAAAAAACTGTTAACGCTGCATTCTGTGTATATTTTTACTTTCTTTTTAATTTGTATTTACTTGTAATGAAGATTTATTATATCCATGAGGCCCAGCCTATTCCTTTATGAAAAGTCAGCCTTCCCACTAGAGACTTAGGGAATGATATTTGTTATGTTTAGTTAATGTTGCTTGTGTTTTCCTTTTGAATTATACATCAATCATACACAAAACAAAAACAACTCCTTATTGCTGTTGTTTTTGTTGTAAATATTATTATTATATTGAAGAAGTATGTCTTATATGGCATGCTTATGAGTGCCTAGTACTATGCCAGACCAAAGGTCAAAGCATAAATAACTACAGAAAACAAATGTTTTGTTTATGTGCTGTTTTCTAACTATTTTTAAAAATTTCCAGACAACAAGACATATTTAGAACGGCAACTCTTAGTGCGATGTATGTACTATTGTAAAGCACTCTAATATTTATTATTATTGTATTAAAGCTTTATCAAAATTTGGATGTGTAAAAAATATTTTTCTACCTTTATAAGATATATGACCCAGTTTATTCATTTTAACTATATAATGATATATATATGTATATATATAAATAATATTTTATAAATTGAAGTTTCAGTAACTACAACAGAGTTTTTACATCACACTATCTAAGATAAATGAGATTTCAATGTATTAAATGAATCCAATAAGATTAAGATTGTCATTCTTAATTCAACTTATTCAACATCTTCCTTCTTTCTTAATTCACTTATGATTACAACTAAACTACTACTTCATATATTTATCAAAATACAATGACCTGGCATTTACAAAATGCAGAAATAAAATAATAAATCACACATTGAAAGACATGAAATAATATAACTTATTTTAATATATTTTCTTAAAAATTAAATATTTAAGATATTGTCAAACTAATGAGAAAAAGAACTTAAATTTAATCAATTATCACTAAAAATTAACTTCTTATTGCATAAATAATAATGTTATAAATTTTGCAAAAATGTGTTTTTTTCTTTTACAGGAGAATAGTAGAAAAATAGCATCATCATCTATATTTTGACAAGATTCAAATATAATTTATCAATAGAAGATAATCAATGCTTATTTTACATTTCAACAAAAACAAAAAATGTTTTGAAGAAGTATAAACAAAATTTATACTTCTTTCCTTTGTTTCAGGTTGATTTGTAATTCTAATGATCAAATATCCATACTATTATATAATCATTCAAAGGAAATTTCTTTAATATCCCATCATCTATAGTGTGTTGTAGCACAACAGTGCAGTATACAAGCAGACATATCAGTCCAAGATTACCATTTTGCAGTGCAATAGTTTTGTAATCTTTTAATTATTTTTCATATAAAATAGTGGGAATTGTATAAATATATAGTGCTTTTAGTATTGTGTATATCCTAGATTTAAAAAAAATCATGGAGTGTTGGCTAAGAAGAGTTTTGAAGAAAAATGTAGCAAGTACTTCAAATGTTTCTAGTAATGATGAAACTGAAAAGGTGGATATAAACAAAGGTAGAAATCTAGGCACTAGCACTGTTTAAAATATTGAAAGACAGAGTTTAACCCTTCACATTAATGTCCAACTTGAATTAAGTAATAACATTTGGTTTCCATTATTGATGTGTTTTTTTTCTTTTTTTCTTTTTTTGCATTTTCAATAAATTGTTTTGATGTTTCTATTTGCTGTTTTATCTGTAATCATTAAAAATTGTCAGGGTTCCAACATTATTTATTAAGGTGAAAAGATTTCCACCATAAAAATAAATTGGGAACTGCTAGATTACACATATATAATACTTATTTTTAATAAATTCAATTATATGTATTTCATCTATTTTTCAAAAATGATTTTGTCTAATTCTACATACCAATATGTAATAAATAATACTAGAATTAAACAGATAAAGTTAATCAGTAAATTTTGGTTTAATGTATTTCATTTAATTTAATAATAAGTTGACTACAGTTCATAAAATAATTTAATTATAAAACAAGATTAAATTGGATAATTCATTCTAGTTAATGCATCACTTTATGTTAATGTAAAAGCAATCATCATAATCAACATGTTAGCTATTATCTCTTATGAGTTAAATAATCAAATACTTAAATTTCAAAAAGCTAAATTATCAATAAGATAAAATAACAAAAGAACAGTGATATATATATAGTTAAATAAAATAATTTTATAAACTATTATAATAATTATTTAAAAATTTTTTAAAATTTACTAATTCTTTAATTGTCATTAAACTTCACTAAATTTTCTTAACTATAACTAATTTTACTTACTTATCAGCTTTCCTGACAGGGTATGTGTTTGTACGAATTGCATCAGTATTCCCTTTCCTATTGCGATTTCCAAAATTTGTAAAATTGACTTTTCCAGTTTTGTCATTACCTTTAAAAATATTGAAATGTATTTAAAATTTTCAAATTATCTTATATTCATCAGAAAATAAAAATGTAAATAAGAAATTAAAAGGTATATCTTTATAAATCTGTTTTAATTATTTTTAAATAGTAATGAGATAATTTTTTAAAATCTAATTCATTATAGCTGACATAAATACAATATCATAATTAATAATAATAATAACTTTTAATCATATAAATAATAAATTTTTATCATATTAATAATAACTTTTAATATGAAGCACTATTACAAATATATATTTGTTCAAAAAGTCATTCAAATGTTTCATATAGTCAGCATCACAAATGTTGATCAATTACAGATAACAAAACTGTATATAATTTCATATGTAATATTAATGTTCAGGGTACCAGTTTGCAAATTAACATATTAAAATTTGTTTGCTATGTTAAAAAATATATTGAACAAATTTAAATACTTTTAATTTAAAATGAATTATTGAATAAGCTACTGCATTAATCTATTAAAACATAATGGAAATAACTTTAAGAGACAGGACCAACTTACATAAATCATCAATTTGTAAAATTATTGTTTGTTTGTTAAGTTATGGCAACGCAACACTTGAGCGATCTGCCTAAGAAAGATGCCTTCCAGGAGGTCTTTTTAAGGGAAACTAGCCCCTATTTAGGCATTACAGACGTGGAGAAAACTCAGAAAACTCCATGTGGCCAACCCATCTGAGTGAGGCACAAACCCACAACCGAACTCTCAGTGTTCAGGGTACAAAGACTGCTTGGCCACTGGTGGGTCTATAAAATGATTGGCTTACATCATTCAGACACTAGCTACTGGTAACTAGAGTAATTATTGCATTGCTCAGCACATGCTCTATCTTTCTTAAAGAATTTTTTTAGAATTTACTTCCTTCAAACCTGAATTGTGTGTGATGTGTTCTTATTGAATTGATTTCATAAAGTATCCATTATTTGATTGACTAGAGTTTTTTTAAGTCCAAACATGCCTAGAAGAAATCATCTTATGATTCTAAATACAAAGTGTGTATTGAAGAGTTCAGAGGAGACAACTTATAATGCTGTTCTTTATTTATAAGGTAAATTGCTTTTACATTCAACAAAACTGTTGAATGTGAAAGCAATTTACCATATAAATAAAGAATTGTATAAAGTTGTCATTGTATGATCGAAAGGAAAAACAATGTGACCTTAAATATTTAAGCAAATCAGTTCACCTTGGTAAGTCATAATGTTTTTATCACTTATGCAAAAGCATTGATTGAATTATATGTATAAGAATTACCAATTATATGTATAAGAATTAACCAATTATATGTATAAGAATTTCCTTGAAAAAGATATAAATGAAAAAGTTTGAAACACTGACACTTAAAAAACTATGTTGGTGAATTATATGACAAAACTATCAATACAATTATAAAAAACTTTGAAGGAAAATTTGTGTAATTATCCATTGATGAAACCACAAATGCATTTGATAGTATTGTTGTTAATGTAATAGTTTACATGCTTGTTTGTGCCTTTCAAAGTACAAAAGCAAACTAAAAATACATATTTACATCATACTACATTTGTAGAAGCAACCAATCATTCAATTATAAATGATGTAATGTAAATTTTGTGGCCAAATGGCCTTATTCAACTTGATGTACTGGTACCAGTACATCAAGATGAATAAGGACTTAAGACCTGAAATGCATATCCACATCCAATAATAAAGTCTACATGAATAAGAGTTCCTTGTGTGATATAAGTTACTGAAAAACTGCCAAACATTTTAGGCTTAAAAAAATCAAAAGTAAGCAGTTTTATCTTAAACATTAATATCAAGTGTAATGTCATTGTTTTTAAAAAGGCAATTTTATTATATAATTGTTATAGAATGTAAACCTGCTGAAGAGAAGACTTCAGGTCCAAAACACACAAAGAGTGTACAGGTGAAAATAAAGATATTTTGTTTTGACTTTTGACTAAGATTTCCTCTCTTTGCTAATCAGAAACTTCACCAGTATAATAAGTCCTATTAATAAACAAGAACCAAGTAGACAATATATGCACAGAAATATAAAACAATAAGGATAAAGTGATAAAAAGAATTAAACATTAAGTTATTTTATAATAATAATAATAATATTACAAACTCCTGAACAAAAAAAGGCAGGAAAACTGTTGCAAAAAAAAATTTGATAAGAATTGAAAAACTTAAAATATTCTATTTAAATTTTGTTGACAGGTGAAACTAGAAGTTTTATCATCAAATTAAAGATCTGCAGACATAGAAATTACGGGCATACACTTTAAAACAAAGCTACATATGGGCACTGTCCTGGAGTATTCAAGGTCATCCATATCTCATATGGGGTCTTGGGTCAAAAGTGTTAATAATATATATATTATTTTTTTCAAAGTTCAGATTTTAAATTATGTTCACAAGGACAGCAAGAAAACCAGGTAATGTTAGTTAAATTAAAATTGCCACATAACAAAATCCTAATTTGTGAAAACTTTTATAAAAAACAAAAACCTGTATAAAATATGAAATATAATATGTAAAGGATAGGGAGAATAAACAGTGATAAAAGTTGAAAATTAAACAACCAAAACTAAATCTTCATATTCAAACATTTTTATGACAAATAATGAAGTGGTAAAGTAATAATACACCACCATTTCAAAACATTAGTTCTTGAAACAGACAAATAAAATCAGCTAAGCTTATCATAAATTCCATATCCACAATGTTCTTCCTGAGAAAACTCTCAATAATGATGAAAAAAATTATTATAATCATTAAATAATCTGATATGAAAAAATAACTACATTTACGTTTATTGCAGCAAGCATTCCATAAATATTAAATATTAAATTTAGAACATTTGACCATACTAATAAATAAGCAAATGAAAATTTCTAATGATATATAGAAAACATTTAAATACAGTAAAAACTGCTTAGGCTGCCACCTGCATTTGATGGGCACCTGTCAAAACAGCAAAAATTTCTGGCATGGAATACTTTTTACATAGAGTCTTTGTATAAGTTACCTGTATTAAACGATCACCTGTGTAACGCAACCACAGGCATCAATTTTTGGTTGGAAACAACATATAACAACTGTAATAAGCAACCATGTCCACGAATATATCTGGTCTAAACTCTTGTTCAAACCCACCTTGGGCACTTCTCCCACCCTTGAAATTAGGTGCAGGTGTTAATGAATTAGTCTACTAACAAAGGAAATTCATTTGTTTGTTTGAAAATGTCAGAAAAACAAAAGAATGCAAAAGTGCTGTGGTTAGAAGATTGTATTAAAAGTTATAAGAGAAAGTGAAAATGGCTTATCACAATGGAGATTAGCGGCAAAATTTAACTGTGAAAAATGCAATTTTCAAAATTTTGCAACAGAAGAAGTTGTTACTGGAGGAATGGAAAAGCAGTGGAAACAAGGATAGCAAATGTAAAAGAAAGCAGCAGAATGAAGAGATAAACAAATTTGTATGGGAGTGGTTTCAAAAGGCAAGTGCTAAACAGATTCCTTTGAGTGGACCAATCATTCAGGCAAAAGGATGTGAATTGCAGAAAAATTAGGCATTTCATTGTTTTGCGCCAGCAATGGAGGCTGGAAAGTTTCCGGAAGCATCATAATATTGTTTATTGCATCTTGTGTGATAAAATTGGGGACATCAATCAAAGTTAATGTGAAAAATTGGAAACAGCATATTCTTTCAATGATAGATGTATATGATTTTCACGATGTCTATAACTCAGATGAAACAGGACTTTTTTTTGGTGCTATTCTGGATAAAACTTTAATCAAAAAGGGAAAGAAGTGTTCAGGAGGCAAGATGACAAACAAATGCCTGACTGTAATGCATTAGGAAAGAACCAGTGTTGGTCATTTCAAAGTCACTTCAACCCAGATGTTTTAAAGGTACTGACATCGCAACTTTGGGCATGACCTGGAAAGCTAACTACAGAGCTTGGATGACAGCAGACATCTTTTAAAAATGGTTAGAAAAATTAAATGAAAAAATGAGGAAAATTTTACTTTTTCTGGACAATGGTGCCTGCCATCCCCCAAGATTTCACTTTCAAATGTTGAATTGAAATTTCTTCCACCCAACACTATGAGCCACCTTCAACATCAGGGCATAATCTGGGAGTTTAATATACTATACAGAAAAAAAACTTGTAAAATTTTTGCTTGTTTGGATGGAAAGTGCAACACAACTTGCCAAACAACTGACTGTTTTAGATGCAGTTAAATGGATTAAAAATGTTGGAAGGAAGTAAATTCTGAAACAATCAGCAAATGTTTTAGGTTTGGCTTTTTTCACAATGCTGCACATGCTCCCTATGCTCAAAATATTTTAGAAGCAGAACTTCAAGAGCTTTGTACTGCTGCACAAATTATCAACATTGTAGCTACTGAACATGTTCAATGCTTTGAAGATCTGGATGACGACTAGGAGAATCAACTTATGGTTAGGGAAAAGACTAATCAACAACTGTCACAAACAACAGAAGACAATGACGATGTCAACAAAGAACAAAGTGATGTTCCTATCAAACCTTTTCCACTATCAGAGACGCTTTTCACAATTTTAAGATTGAAAGTACATTCATCAATCTTGAAAGACCACAACTTTTGGAAAGCATAGATTTAATTGAAAACAAGCTTGAGGAAGTGATTCTAAAGCAAAAGTTAAAACAGGTTAGACAGACTAAGGTAATGGTTTTTTTTTATAAGCACAAGTAAATATTGTCTAGCCCAGGCATGGCCAACATACGGCCCACAGACTGGATGTAACCCATGTAATGGATTTATGTGGCCCACAATTAATCTTTCAATATTAGCTACTCAAGTCAGAATAGATTGGTGAAAAATTCTGACGCCAAAAAAAAAAAGAAAAAGGTCAACAACTCACTGTGCATTTAGAGTTAATCCTCCATTGCAGATTGCTCAAGTACAGTGTAGAATGTTGA